GGTCAGTCACCCACATTCCCTGGATGCCATGTTAAGCACCTTCACATTTTATCTCATTTAACTTCACAGCCACCCTACAGAAGGAATGATTTTCTTTGCCTTTCAGAAAAGGAAAATGAGTCACACCCAAAGTAATGTAGCCAACGTGAGAAAGCTTTGGGTGTTGGAGGGAAATTGGCAGGCATTACGTAAGATATAAGGACAAAGATGTGAACCTGAGATGGTGCTAGAACCTTGGAGTTTAGTGGAATGAGAGAGTGAAACTGAGAATCACAGTGAGGAGCCTAGGACAGAAAGAGGAAGAGGATGGGAAAGTGTGTAGGTGTGTCCTGACTGCATACAAATGAGCAGGTATGTGATCACATATCTTGAATAGCAGTCAACGGTCATTAATCAAAGTCTTCCCTGACATGTTTCTTCAAGAGAGAAATCTAAGTAGACCCTGTCCCTGCCTCCTGTGTGCAGGGCTGTGTCCAGCTGCAGGCCATGGTATCAAAAAGAAAGGCTCATTTCCTCTAGATGTCTGGGGACCCTCCTCCCCACCTGCCATCCACTTATGCTCCCCCATGTCACCCCAAGCTCCCTGCAGCTCATCACCCCATTGGAGCAAATACTGTGGATTTAGTCTTTTTCCACCACCCTGCTCCCATATTAAACACCGAGTCGAAACTCAACCCTTCCATGGTCCTTTTCGACCAGAGCTTTCCACCAATGTTTGTTCATCACTAGCACAGTTGTCCCGTTTTGATAGAAAGGGCAGAGCCAAGATTCCATCTTAAGCTTGTCTGTCTCTGACGTACATGCCTCTGTCCAAGAAATGGCAGGAATGGGAATCGATAGCTTTTTACTTCATCTTTGTAAATGCCTGGATGAACTCTAGGGATTTATGAAAGTGAATTCTTGATGAATTAAGAATGTACAGTAAAGATGTTTTTGGGAACTGCTGAAAATGTCAGGTTAAGCTAAATGACTCTTATTTGACAATGTATACAACCTTAAATCTCAGCTTGTTCTTGGAAGGGCCTCAGCCTTCAATTAGAATTTCTTGAAAGGAACATCCTCAGAGTTCCATCTTTGCCAGCCTCTGTCCATGCATATTTCTAGTCCGACAGAACTGGATCAAACACGTTTACAGTGTGATCACTTTGTATTAAATACAGTGATGTCTGACAGTTCTTAAGTACACCCTCCAGAATGGGGCCAATTGCTTTACATGGAGGTAAGTGTAGGAGCCACATTCATCTGCGAAGACTTTGTAAGGCAGAGGATACATTTCCATGTACACAAAAAAGAACACAGTGTAAAAAACAGAGAGTGTGCAAGGGACCAAAAGTTAAAAACAAGATGGTTCAGGAAGCTAAAACAGGCTTAAATCATAAAAAAAAACAGAAAAATAAATAGAAAAGTAGTCAGGAGCTATAAAAGGCAAGTAAAATTAATAGATGGGAAATTTAATATGAAGGATAAAAATTCCAAATGTAGGATTCAGTAGTTAAGTAATAAAGTGGAGGAAATAAATGTGTAGAATAAAAAGAAATTAGACCTGGTGAGTCAGTGAGACAAGAGACTGAAAGACAAGATATAAAGTTGTAGGAGATTTCTGTTACTCTAAGCTCTGAATCTCAAATATCAGCAAAGCAAAGACACATAGACAGAAAAGCTAAAAAGGAAGAGGGTACCAATTCTTACTCCCCCTGGCAGTAGGTGAGACGGTCTATTCCTCTGAACACTCACCAGTGCTGAGCAGAGAATGTGTGGGGGAGAGGGGAATGCAGGCTGCACACAAGAAAGGCTTAGATTCAGTCTCTAATTCAATAATTTATATTTTAAAATGTTGTCTCAAAGTATTTGATGCTTTTATAGTTAAAAAGTATTTCTTTCCAATAAGGTGAAAAAGGAAACCTAAGGACATACAGAATAAAACTTCATAAAAGGGGTTCTTACTCTCTTTCAATTATAGAATCCTTGAAAATCTAGTGTTATGTCAGGGATCTGCTCTCCAGTAACCTTGTACACATGAACACAGTTATGCAGACATGAACTTTCAGGGCTTCACCAGTCCCCTGGGCCCGTCAGTTCCTGCTAAGATTCCTGGTCTCACAGGTAGTTCTTGGGGCTCTGCTAGGTTTCTGAGAACAGTCTGCGGAAATCAAATTCAATTTCACTCCAACAGGTTTTCATGAAGTGCTTCACAGCTGCCAGGTACCTTCTGACATTGCTACATTATATGTAGAGGCAGTATACATAGCTAGTGGGTGTAAAGTTGGGCTCTCCCTACCTCTCTCTGCATGTCTCATCCTTAAATGAAAGGATGAAGATATTTTCTCTTCTTCTGAGTGGTGGTGCTCCCTCTATGTTAGCTGGCCACATGACTTCCCAATCAAAGACCACATTGCCCAGCTCTTCCAGGTGGGGCCAATGGGACATGAGCAGTGGGGATGTGTGCATCTGAGTCATGTCCTTAAATGGAAGGTGCTTCTCACCACCTGCCCCTTTCTCCCTTCAAAAAAAGGAACTCATACAAGATGTTGCAAGGCGAGAACAAGATAGAAGGAACTGGGATCTTTGGGTGATTTTAAACTACAAAGTGGCCTTCCTATGCTGGACTTCCTGTGTACATCTGAACAAATTTTAGTTTTCAATTTCTTTTGAATTAGTGCTGTTTCAATTTCTGGTTACAGCATAATATTTCAGGCAAACATAAACATACAGATATTCCTTTTAATATTCTTTTTCATTAAAGGTTACAAGATATTGAATATGGTGCCATGTACAGTACAGTAAAAATAACTGTGATTTATCTATTTTATATATAGTAGGTAGTATCTGTAAATCTTGAACTCCCAATTTATTCCTTCCCACCCCGAATTCCCTCGGTAACCTTGTTTTCTGTGTCTGTGAGTCTCTTTCAGTTTTAGAAATAAGTTCATTTGTTTCTTTTTTTAAATTATTCCATATAAAAGTCCTATCATACGGTACTATTCTTTCCCTTTCTGGAGTACTTCAATTAGAATGAAATCTCAGGGTCCACCATGTTGCTGCAAATGGCATTATTTCATTCTATTTTATGGTTGAGCATTATTCCATAGTATGTATATGTGTATACACACACACACACACACACACACACACACACATATATACATACCACAACTTCCTTATCCAGTCATCTGTTGATGGACATTTAGGTTGTTTCCATGTCTTGGGTATTGTAAATAGAGCTGATAGGAATTTGGGGTACATGTATATTTTGGAATTAGAGTTCCCTCCAGATATGCCCCGCAATGGGATTGCTGGATTATATGGTAAGTCTATTTTTACTTTTGAGGAATTTCCATATGATTTTCCATAATGGCAGCATAAAAATTCATTCCTACCAACAGTGTAGGAGGGTTCCCTTTTCTCCACACCCTTCCCAGCATTTATTATTTGTAGACTTTTTGATGATGGACTTTCTGACTGGTGTGAGGTTATACATCATTGTAGTTTTGATTTGAATTTGTCTGA